TCCGTTTATTATTACTCTTAAGTCTCATTCTGGGTTTCGAAGTTTTCAACTTGGTTTGGGGTATAAAGCCTTACACCGGAAAGTAAAGCTGCCATACACTCTAATACAGGCGTATAGCATCTGGTAAAGGCTTGGGTTTTGGAGGTGTGAAGGCATTGCCTTTATTTGCCCCCATCTAGCCACGGAGAACTGCAGAGGGCCAGCCTTCATTCTGGACTCAAAATTAACAGGTTGATAGTCACTATTACTTGGGCTTCTGCTGTCTTGCCAAGCAAATGCAGATAGACATAATGCTGAAAGAAGCTGAGAGAATTAGTTTAATTTTACTGGGCTTGCTGTTACCAGGTATTGTAAGAGTAAAGGCTGCAAGTAACTTGTGCAGTCAATACTGAGAGTCCTGGAGAAAATCTTGTTTGTGAAAGAGGCCTTATGTGATCGCCACTACAAAAAGCTGTGATCAATCAGTTTAGACAAACAGAAGGGTAACCAGTGCTTCAGGAAATTCATTGCTGCAGAGAGGTTGAAATAAACAGTTTAAATGTGTGGTCGGGAGTAATTGAAAAGTAGGAACAGAAGTTCCAGAAGCTCATAAAGTTTTGGTATTGCAAAGTAATGCTTGCAACTTTTTTGGGTGCCATCTAAATGGTGAGTGAGCAGCTGAACGTTGTATTTGCACAGATAACTTCATCTTGAATATTTTGATGTTTACTGGACCTCTTGGGGAGCAGCAGCATTTCACCACATGGCATTTTATGCCTCTATTTGTTGAGCAGCAAGGGAAAGTACAAATTACACAAATGCTGGAAAAGCATGCATAGCCTGGGAAGCTGAGGGACCTCTCTGTTGCTGTGAGGAGTGACTGTTGTTTCATATCCTCCTGTCCCAAGGTAGTTTCATCAAGCATGTGAGGAGATGCTGACACAATACAACTGCTTTTTCATATTAACAAGCAGCTGAGGCTAAGCAGAGGGGTATCTGATGGAGGCAGTGCTGAGCTGATAAATGTTTGATTATTTGTTGAAAGTGGGCAGTTTGGAGTTGTGCTGTAGGAGTAAAGGTAGTATCCCCAACTATTGCTGCTTTATAGCAAGTATTTACACCGTTCTTTAGGTTATCCATGTTTTAAAATACATAAATTTACTTGAAGTGGTTGAAACATAATAATGTGTTTTCTAAAGCAGTCTGTGAGACTCTGGTGAATGGGTGGGTGACTTTTTCCCTTCCTGTAGCGTGAGGAAATCACGTACTATGTAATTATTTTGCCTGATTTTTGGTGGAAGAAGTGGTTGCTATGCCACTGCTCTCAAGTGTTCCAAATACATTCATTTGCTCTTAGGTTGACTAGATTATAAAATATACCAACATAACTATTTGAAACTTGTAAGCACCATCCTCACTATTCCAGTTAAACTACACTCTACATGTAATCACTAACTTTGTTAAAAGCTTAACCTTTTTTTTCTATAATTTTGATTTTTTTTTTTCTTTCTAACTGAATGTAAAAATAATAATAAAAAAGCATCTCTGAAGTCTGCCTTATTACAATACATAAGTTTTTAATCTTTAAAGTAGTATGGCTAAAATTACATAAATTATGTAACTTGATTTTGAACATCAAAATTATCTCATTTGATTTGTATAAAAGAACACATTTTCTAAAAACATATGCAACTGGTATACTTCTGAGCCTCTAATAATCCAGCTCCTGCCTGGATCTTTGTGGGAGGGAACTTTTTGTAGATGTCTGTTCATTAAGTTTGTCATGCAAGAATGCTTTTGATGTGTTCTCTTGAAGCGTTGGTTTTATAAGTGAAAGAGATGACATATGCTGTATTTATGATTAAGTATTTGACTCTTCAGAACTGAATTGATTCTTCACAAAGAAGTTTGATGTCTGTTTTCTGTTAGGAAGTATCATCATTACATTTCAGCTGTGACTGATTTTCTTCTATAAAGTTCGTATGAACTTGCTGCCTTAATTTCTGACTCTAGGGTTTTTGTCTGTTTAACAGCAAATTTCTTATTTATGCCTGCTTGCTGCTCTTTTCTGTGTTGCTCTCTCTACGGCTGGATGACAAAATTCAGTGGAGTTACTGGGCCGTATTTGCTCCAATATGGCTGTGGAAGTTAATGGTGATTGTTGGGGCCTCAGTGGGAACAGGAGTATGGGCTCGAAACCCACAGTATCGGTAAGTCAAGGATATTTATTTTGCAAAATGAAGGGAACATCATGTGTTCTCTTTACACAATCAAATTCATCAGTAGTTCTTTTAACAATGTAAGATGTAGCATCCAGAGAGTTGCTATGTAAAATAATTATAACCTATACTATATGCGAACAGCTTTATGCCCCTAAGGATGGCTTAATCCTAATCACAACAGTTTATCACAAGCTTAAGCAATATTGTTTTTTAGAAGCCAAAACTTCTCATAGAGTGACTTCTTGCACTTTTCTGTTAGAATGTTGGGAATTCTTTGCTTTATTATAAGCCATATAGAAATATGTATCTTCATATGCACTAGGAATATACTATATTTAATTGGATTAATTTCTAAATCACTTCCCTGAAATGTGCAATAGCCTGAAAGAGGTTTTTGTGTGTTTTTCTCCTTGGTGTGCATATAACCTCAGATAACAATGAATCTTCAGTGATTCTTGAATATGCTGTGAACATTGAGAATTTTTCGGAGTTTAGTTACAGTTTTAGAAGAAATATTCAAGTAGCTTAATGCACTAAAATAGGCTACTGCAAAGTAAGAAGTTTGTTGTAAAAAATTCTGTAAATTCCTTTTCATTTTTGTCAAAGTTAACACTGATATTTTGTCAGTCTAATGTAGAATAACTTTCAGACCTTTAAATACATCATTATTTACTCTTTTGGTAATCTGAGTAGGATGTGAATTCGAACATACCGGGTGTGTTATTTTACTTTTTAGTAACAGATAATATTCTATTGCAATACACTGATGAAGAAAGAAATTCTGGGGAAAGATGTTGACTCAGTGAAAGCTGGTGCAGGAACCAAGCAGATAATTTTAGACTAAACTTATTTCCTGACAGCTTTCATGAAGTCTGAGTGTTTATGAAGTAGCAAAGAAATCTTGTTTTTTCTGCACAGCTATGGAATACTTAGAAAATTTTAAAGATGTAAAAATCCCACTGTCTCCTTTGAGGAAAACCTTTTAACTGTGCAGCTTTATGGGCAGGAAATCCTGTTGGGTCATCAGGAGTGTAGTTTAACAGCAGCTGTTTGGGCATAATATGTATGTTTATTAAAAACAAGTATTAATATCTGAAACTTAACAATTGTAAATGAAGTGTCTTGGGATGTTTGAAGGATCCTGCGCTTTCTTTTTGACAAGTAAACCGAATGCTTTGTTATGCTCTCTTTAGAGCAGAAGGAGAAACCTGTGTGGAGTTCAAAGCAATGTTAATTGCAGTTGGCATCCATCTGCTCCTGCTGATGTTTGAGGTTCTGGTGTGTGACCGGATCGAAAGAGGAACCCATTTCTGGCTTCTGGTCTTCATGCCATTGTTCTTTGTATCTCCAGTGTCAGTTGCAGCTTGCGTGTGGGGATTCCGACATGACAGGTCTCTGGAGGTAATGCTTTGTTTGTTGCTGTAGAGTCATAGACAGGTTTGCCTTGGAAGGGACCTTAAAGCTCATCCAGTTCCAACCCCCTGCCATGAGCAGGTACACCTTCCAGTAGACCAGGTTGTTCAAAGCCCCATCCAACCTGGCCTTTCATGTGTAGAATTTGCGGCAATGCAAGACTGTATCAGTTCTGTAGCTGTTCATCTCTCAAGAAAGCATGAGATGGATGACTGCATCAGTTGAATTAGTTGTTTGCACTGACCTGCAAACATGAGTGAAAAATCACAATTGGAAATACTGTAAGTTTTTCTCATTTCTTCTAGTGTTTGTTTGTTTTCTCAACTACCACACTGCAACATGTCTAAACCATTCTTTTTATTATTGTGTGTTAATAACAATAAAACATTGTCCCTGGGCAGAATCAGGGTTGAAAATTTCTTACTATCCAAATCTGCATTCTTCATCTTTAATTTGGGAATACAAATAGTAGGCATAAAGCAGTTGGGTTTTATTTTGTGCCTATATCTTCTTTCTCCTCCAACTCACTCCTTTTGGTTTTGGAAGAGCTTCATGAGGATTCTAAGATCTTCCCATGGTTGTGGCTTTTCAGAATAAATTTAGAATTCTTATTGAATTGATAGGGTTTTGGTGGGGTTTTTTTTGTTTTTTTTTTTTTTTTTTAAAGGATTTTTTGCTTTTTACAGTGCCCTCAAACTCCAAGTTTTGTGGGGTGTTTTGTTTTTTGGTTTTGTTTTGTTTTTTTATTTCAAGGCAATATTTCTCTAACATTACCATAAACTTACATTTTTGGTGCGTGATTGTTAGGATGGCTGGTAAACTGATACCTCAAATTGTTGATGTAAAAATACTGCAAATAGAATTTCATTCAGCAGAGTTCTGTTCATTAACCATTCCTAAAAGTAAAATCTGTGTAGAAGTACTTACCTTCTCCTGGCTGATGCTTGATTACTCATTGATTTACAGATGACTGCACAGCTGCTAAGTACTGGCATTAAAAAATGGAATCCACTCACCCCTAAAAGGCAGCAGCTGTCTCAAAGAAAATTACTTAAGGAGTTGAACTGTCAACTTTTTTCTTTTACTATTTTGTCATCTTTTTCTTTTTGACTCTGGGAAGATCTCATTACTTCCCTTTCATTTGGTAGAAGTGTAAGAGGGGCCTGTGTTTAACCCAGGATACTAATTTTTGGCAGGAGTAATCAAAGTGGTTAATCTATTATTATTTTCATAATTATTTAATCTGATATATGTTGTCTGGTTGTTCCTACTCTGATTAGGTGATCAGTAAGTACATAGTGGTGTTTTGTCTATATATCATGGTGGGGTCAGAAAAAGCTTTTCCTTCATGTGTTATACTATTTTTATAGTCAATAAAATACCATTTATTTAAGACATAATGAATTCATTAAATTGTGAGCCTAGCTACTCCCAAGGATTTTTAAATGCTAGGAAGGTTTTTCCTCAGGAGACAGCTGCCTCTACATTTACTCTATTGGGATCACAGCCTCCCATATTTAGGGATGCTTAGCAATCTCTAATGCAAATTCATGTTCCATATTACAGTGATAAACACAGAGTCAGAAAAATCCTTAGATTCTTTGTTATCTTGGAAATAGCTTTATCATGCTAAAGGTTAACTAATATATTTTCTTTTTCTAGCTGGAAATCTTGTGTTCAGTCAATATTCTACAGTTCATATTCATTGCACTGAGACTAGATGAGATCATCAGATGGCCATGGCTTGTATGTAGCAAATGTTTTATTCTTATCCTTGTTTAAATGCTGAATTTCATAAAGATACTTGCTGTAGGGAATAGTTAATGTATGATCATGGTCCATGATCACATTCTTGCTGGCCTAACAATCCTTCACTGAATGTTTGGCATCTCATTCAGTGGTCATGAGTAACAGAGGCTGTTCCTGGGGTATTTTGTCCTTTGAGGAAGAGTGACATGCCATCAGCTGCAGTTAATCACTGATCAGTTGTTTAAAGAGAATTCCTAACCAAAATTTTCCAATGGCAACATTAAAATAGCCATGAAAATGATTGGTGGGTTAGGGAATGTACTGGTAAATATGGTGTGATAAATAACTAGTTTTATTTGCTCTGCCACCATGCCTATAAATCCACTAACTGTGCAAGTGGTCACTGTCAAAACTGCTGAGATGCTGTGTCCCAAGTGCCTTTAAGAAGTGCTGTTGCTGTGCCTGGGTTTTTGTAAACTACCACAGAACTGGTAACCTGGCATGATTGTGACTGTCCTTTCTATTTTCCAGAAAACTAGGAAAAGGATCTAATTTAGAAATTATTTCAAGTAAGGTGTCCAGTATAGAGAATACTTGCTAAAACAATTTTTGAGTACTGTGATTTAACATGAGCCCATGTTAAATCACAGAAGTCTTATTAAAGTTGAACTACATTGACTCAGTTTTAAATTGTTTCAGCTTGATGGGGTTTACAAAGCTGAGGAACCCCAGAGAGTGGTGTGGCTTACAGCAGTATATATGATTTGTGAAGCTTTTCTGTGAGAGATTGTATCTGTGAAAGAGCATCATACTTAAATTTCCATTTCTTGTTTACACTTACTAAGTAGACTTGCTTTATTTTTACCCTATTCTATGGGAAAACTTGCACCAAAAAAAAAAAAAAAAAAAAAAAAAAAAAAAATCCCCCAGCTGAAACAAATCAAATGTGTTGCTTTCAGGGGGAAAAGCAGTTAATTTCTTTTTCTTTCAGGTTGTTTGTGTTCCACTGTGGATCTTGATGTCCTTTCTATGTCTAGTAGTGCTCTACTACATTGTATGGTCTGTTCTATTCTTGCGCTCTATGGATGTGATTGCTGAGCAAAGGAGGACACACATAACCATGGCTGTCAGCTGGATGACAATTGTAGTGCCCTTGCTCACATTTGAGGTAGGAAAGAGCATAATGACCTTGCATCTTGTTCTTTTTAGAGTGAGTGGTAATGTTGCTCTGTCTCTCCTTGAAGTTACTAAAATGAGAATAGTGGTTTTAGTTTTGGAACAAAATATTAACAGCAAATATGAAAGAAAACAAAGAATTCTGTTTCTGCCAAGTTTTTTGAGCAGAATACGTGTCACAGTGGAACCGCAACTACATGTTTCTGTGGAGGCCATTTTTCTTCACAGATGTGGTTAAAGATCAGAGATCAGTGTATGTTTTAAGAAGCTTGAAAGTGGGTATTGCAATTAAACTAACATTGTACAATTTTTTTGCCATTTAGATCTTACTAGTACACAGACTGGATGGGCACAATTCTTTTTCTTTTATACCCATATTTGTACCCCTCTGGCTTTCGCTGATAACTTTAATGGCAACAACCTTCGGACAAAAAGGAGGAAATCACTGTAAGTATTTAAAAATCATGGAAACAGATTGAAACTCAAGGATTAATTTTATTAAGATTTTAATCATCATAAAGGGCTTTTTTATGTATATTCTCTCATGAAAGAACTGTATCTGTTACTATGGTTTCCAGGTGATTGTAAAAAGTTTTCAGTGTTTATAGTGCCTCTTCATTTTTATTTTTTATTTTATTTTATTTTTTTTACTCCTGGAAGTGTAACTTGTGCTCAGACTCAACCCAAAGTCTCAGTGGGATTTTAATTATAACTCGGCCTTTTATCCTTTCTTATTTCCACGGGTTTCAGTCTCATGGGACATGACTGCATCATTCTATTCTGGGTTCTGAAAAATAGTGTAGCACCTACCATTTTTAATTAGCATTTGGCCTAGTATCCTGAACTAGTATTTTTTTCCCCTCTTTGGCCAAACAGTTCTCTGTGCTGCTCAGTTGTAACTTCAGTTGCCTAAGTGGCCAATGTAGATTTATAAGGTTTTATCCCTATCGTATCTCACACTGCTGAAAGAAGTGTTTGCACTTTCAGCCATCTAATGTTACTGAACCAATGCAGATGCTCTTCAGACCAGCTCTCCCCATCCACGTTGCAGTTCATATTCCTTGTTGGCAAGGCAATAAAATTTGATAGGATTTTCAGAGTTTAAAGGAACCAGCTGTGATATTACATAAACTTACTTCAGTTTTGATCGGATTGTGAAGTATATTGAGAATTGCTTTGGTCATGACTAACCTTATCACCATACAACCAGTTTACTTTTATATTGTTGTTGTATGGAAAACTGTTACTGGTGCTTTTTGGTTTTGTTTTTTTTTCCTTAATGCATGCCCTCAGTAATTTATGGCCAGATTGGTCTTTTGGAAAGCCACATACTATTTTATCTTCTGTAGGGTTAATAAATACTTATGTAATTTTTTTTAATAAGACTGTTCACCTCAAGTGAGCCTCAGAAGACTTGCATGAAAATCCTCCTTTAAAGTGCTAAGTGAAATACATCAGTTGACCATGAAGAATAATACCAGCAATTGGTTGTGTGCTGTCTTCCCTGGCAAATGCTTTTTGTTCATTCAGTGTGAAAGATTTGACTTGGGGAGGCTGTTCCTTCTAGCACTGACCTTTGGTATTGGTTACTAGAGGAGTGCCACCGGCTGAACTACAAGTGCAGCTTGCTTAGATGCTCTTTCCAAGTCTTTGCATATAGCAAAATCCATAACAAACACAGAATGTGTACTGGTTTATAATCCGGCACGGGTAATGCCAAGGATGTAATACTCCTGGCATCCCATTATAGTTGGCTAACAACAAAAATATTTGTGGAATACTGAATATGTGTATTTACTGCTGTGTCTGCCTATGCCATCACATTCTCTCTGGTATGGTAACCTATATGCATCATAGTTGGTGTGGATGTCTTCCCATGTGGCACCGATTGCTTTGATTGAGATGCCAGGTCTTTAGTGTTGTCTATGCACTGATGTGACCTGACACTGTTTAATGGTTGAAATGAAATAGATTCTTGCTGTAATTTATAGATACAGAAACATGCATGCACAGACATGCAGAAGCATGCAAATGTATGTATACATTCTGTATATCTACCTCTGTGTGTGTAATCTGAACTGTTATCTGATAAGTAACACACTGAGAAGCAGCACTAACAAGTTTTATATTGCTTATGCAAATAGCCAAGAGAACTGAAAAAAGATTGCATAGTCTGCCCACTTAACTCTGTTCTGCAATAATGTGAAACAATTTTTATTTTTTATTATTTTTTTAGGGTGGTTTGGAATTCGCAAAGACTTCTGCCAGTTCCTGCTTGAAATTTTCCCATTCTTACGAGAATATGGAAATATTTCTTATGATCTTCATCATGAAGATAATGAGGAAACAGAAGAAACACCACTGCCTGAACCACCAAAAATTGCACCCATGTTTCGAAAAAAGACTGGGGTGGTCATCACACAGAGTCCTGGAAAATATGTCATTCCACCTCCCAAGTTAAACATCGACATGCCAGATTAGGATGATGGAAGCATAGTGAACTTGAACTGGGAATCAGCAGACAAATGTCTTTCATCTCATGCCTTGTCCAGATTACTTTAAAATAGGTATTGCTGAATCAGCACTTAGGTTACAGAATGTGAGATCCTGAAGATAATCTGAGTTTTTCCAGAGATACGTGGTGGTATCATCTGTGCACCTTCCTGATGGGCTGGTTGCACGCTTGCCTGTATAGTATTTATATGAACATTTTAGCAGTGTAATATATTGTTTAAAAGTCTTGTTGTGTACAGTCTAAGTATTATCTAAAAGTATTTTTTTAAAAACCGTGTATGAAATGCCTGTGCTATTTGAGGTGTCTTTTAGGTCCTAAATATACACTTGATTTCCATGTCTGTTTTAAATGCTTTGGTTATGTGTTAGTACAGTACCTCTTTACTACTTCTGTTCAGCCACAATCATTGTCTTAACCAGAGAGGCACGGGAGTTGTATTTCTCAGGCAAGACTGGAGAGCTTTTTTTGGGAGGAAATAGAATGTACAGCATCTTCCATGATGGTTTCGAGTTAGCTATGTGAATTTTCATGTATTTCAACTTTTGCACTGGCTTGGGAGTTAAACGTTGCTTTTGTTGCTTTTCAAGTTTCCCATTTTCATTCGTGTTGAGCAGTGCCTACACCATTCTCCCATTAGACTGCTTGTTAATAAGCTGTCCCCTCTTGCATTGTGCATGCAGTCTATGCCAGAAACATTAGTAGTAGGTTTTACAGATGTTAGTTGGCTGGTATAAATATCATAGCTTGCTCTTCATTACCAACTTTGAGTCAGCAATTAAACTTTTCAAGATAGTAACTTGTTGGTGTTGGTATAGCATTTTCTTGTTTCAAGAAAGACAGTCTTTGACAGATTGACTGAGACTTCTCCATGCTTTGAAGAAAGTCTATGGAACCTACACTGCAGTATCTTATAAAAACAGATTTCTGATACTCCCACTCCTTGCAGCTGCAATTTGTGTTTAGGTGAACCCACAGCTTAGGTACCTTAAGTACCATGGATAGAGTTTTCTTAGTGTTTGCATGGTAATGAGACAAGAGCAAAAAGTGTATGGACCGTTCTGCATGTGTGAAAGGTGCTTTTGTGGTTTAACCCCAGTCAGCAGCTAAGTACCATGCAGGTGCTCACTCAGACCCTGCACCATCCTAGTCCCTGGTAGAACTGGGAAAAACTAAAATCCACGGGTTGAAATAAGAGTTTAATAATTGAAATAAAGTAGGATATGATAATAATTGTAATGAAAAGGGAGATAACAAAAAGAAAAAAAAAGTGATGCCCAGTATAACTGCTCACCACCCAGCCACTGCTCTGTCTGTGTCAAGGCCACCTCAGGGGCAAACTCCACCATAGCACCATGGCCTGACTTGCACTTGTGGCAATGGTTTTGGGCCCTAACCAGGGGCAAGCCAGGTACCTCCCTGGCTACCTTACCTACCACAGCTCTTCAGAAGCTGCATAGTCCAAGGGAATAGTCTCTTAAGTGTTCCAGTAACCCATCTGAATACAAAGCCTCTCCGCCAGTTATCCTGTCCTTATAGCTATGCCTGGCCTTGGGCCTTGATCCAGAAAGTCAAAAAGATTGTAAATTTTGAAAAACTCAAGTGCCAAAATTAGTAACTTCTTTTTGTTTCTCCCTACAATATTAGATTAGTCAAAAGCTTACTAATATATTCCATTTTAAATAAGAAAAAGAATTAACAGCTTCATTTAATCTTGTACAGGCACCTTCTTTCTAACGAAGAGCTTTCTACAAAGGCTGTCAAGGTAACAGAGCCCACAGGCTGCCTCCCCCCCATCATATGGACATAAAATATTCCTAACCTGTGAATAAGGAAAATCTGGTCCTTAAGGTAAGGTTAGGAGTGGGCTGTCAGACAGGCGTCATATTAACACAAGCAGCCTGCTTTCAAGCACCATTTTTCTGGAGGGTCCTACAAACTCTTCCTCATACAATCAGATGTATCATATAACATGGTTGTATTTACATTCCAAATTGGCACAAAATACATCAACCATGTAATTTTAAAAAATGGGAGTTACTTGTACAGGAAAAATCTAGTGAACCATTAATAATTTCCAGTGATGGTCATAAAAATTACATCTTTATTCTGCCTCAAAAGGGCAGTTCTTCAAGCACATTTGCTATTTCAAACAATCAGTTTTGGAAGGGAATCCTAACTCACTGGTATACAAGATACTGACTTGTGAATTACAAGTTACCTGGTCTAGTGGAAGGTGCCCCCAGCCCAGGGGCATTTAGGCAGGAAAAATAATAGCGAGGGGCAACACCTATGCTTCTGCAGGGATCAGTTCCTCAGGGATGTCCACCTGCCACACACCTTGTCTCCCTCTGGCAGGAATTGGTTCCAGAAGCCATCTTGGATTTGAAACAACAGTCAAGTATTTCTGTTCTAGATTACTGAGGACAGCTTTATTTTCCAGCTCCAGAATCGCTTCAGGAGGCAAGTTTTCCGGACATAGTGATGTCTCTCCAATGTCAATTAATCCTGTATTATAAAATTAAAATACAAAATTAGTTGGCTGATTGGTCTCCTAGAGAAAAGTTTTCCAAAATAAGCCTTCCGGAGGGAACACAAACCAAGTTGTTGTGAGAACACTGCGTGAAGCATATGTACCTCAAACCACTGTCATCCGCTGCAGAAGGTGGCCTGTGTGACTGAACTTAGGTTGGTGAATTACTGGTGAAGCGTGGAGTTACAGTCACAACTCGGTGATACAGTTCTGTTAGACACTCTTATCTAAGGAAGTACCAGCTGCTACCAAAACTCCTGAGCTACATTTGGCCTTGAAAAAGCTTCATTAAAAATAAAACTCTCTGTTCCTACCAGGACACCATTAACATTTTAAAATCATTAAACTATATGGAAATTCCTGCTCTCTGGAACCTTTTTAATGTCATGAAAGGGAATTTCTATATTGCTTAATGGTTAAAATAAGATCAAAGAAGCTTTGATGCCTACTCCACAATTTAGCATGCAATTTATGTCAAGGTTACAAATTGCACATTATGTAGTAGTTAACAATTCTCAGCACTAGAACAGGAACAATTTTTCAGTGTATGTGATAGTAATTTGTTGTGCAGGAATAGCTGTAAATGTTGGAATGAGAAGGTGAAGATAGATGTTGAAACAAAAGATACCTACATGAAAAGAGTGCAAAATGAATGGTGAATAAAAGCTTTGTAAGTATACAGTACAGCAACATATGTTGTATTTCAGCACATTATAAGCAAAAAAACACCACTCCATCCTAACTTTTGTTGTCAGAAGCAAACTTCTTCACTGCTCAAATAACAAGAACAATGGAGCATTTGTAGAACTGAAATTTATTTACGTAGTACTCTACGATGACAGGAAATCACTGCAATGTGGTGACCTCACTTGACTCAAAGGACTGTAAAATGGTTTCAGCAAGAGTAGCTAAGCTCAAAATGCAAAAAGCGTGAAACTGACATTTACTATCATGAAACAAGATAATATGCAACCCACATTATACTATCTTACTGCATAACGAGTTAGCAGAAAACAGTTTTATTTTTTGTGTACACTTTAGAGTTGTAGGCTGAATGTCTTTTAAAAGATGAGGCCCGACTAAAATTCTTTATCCCAGAGGTCAAACATACTTCACATTTCCAGCACAATGAAAAAGAATTTACAACTTCCCTCACTGACCTCAGCTTACAGTGATACGGAATTGGAATAACCCCCCAGCCACAACACAGGTACCACTCCCTCAAAATTAGCATTAAAGGCACATTTTAACGACCACAACTATGTAAAGCAAATGTGTATTTTATTTGCCTGAATGTTAACAGATTGAAAGCTTGCTTGGAAAATACAATCCATGCAATATTACAAGTTGCTTACCTGCAATAACTCCTCTGCCAAACTTTTCCCCTTTATCCAACAAGTCTTGCACTTCTTGTGGTGTCATACCAAACCTATTCAAGAGAATTGCTCTCCATGTTTCATCTTCCCAGTCTTTAACAGCTATATGAAGAGCAATGGTGCAGTCCTTGTAGTTTGCTAGCAAAGGACGCCAACGAGTCTCCACCGTTTTGACTTTGTTTAAAACTAATCCTGCATAGGGTTGTCGGAAGGAAAGGCAACCAAATTTCATCGTTTTCCTTGCATCCGAACCCGTTTGTTTCCTACAAACAAGACAGACACGCTGAGGTTAGTGTTTGAAACGTGGGTAGGGCCGTGTCAAACCAACACACCTGCCGAGAGCTGCCCCAAG